GAAAAATTTATATATCGGTAAATTGTAACACAATTGGTCCAAGGCTAGCGATGGATGGTTTACCTCAAGGAGGAATATTAAGCCCATTGTTATATTTAATTTACACTGCTGATCTAGTAAAAAATTTAAACTCCACAAGAATTTTACAATTTGCAGATGATATAGTCATTTATCAAGAACACATTAAAATAGAAAATGCAGTCAAATCCATTGAAGAAGGAGTCAATCATATTAAAACATGGAGTGATTTACATGGACTAAATATCTCTGATTCGAAAACTAAATTATGTATTTTTTCAAGAAAACGAAAAGAGATACCCAACTACATCTTAATAAACAATGTCTCCTATCCAGTGCAAAAATATGTTAAATATTTGGGCATTATTCTTGATAGACAGCTTCTCTGGAAAGAACATATAGACAATATAGTTAAAAAAACAGAAAAGGGAATAAATCTTCTTCGATTCGTGTCACACTTACGATGGGGAGCAGATCCAAATATTTCTTTGTTATTATTTAAAAATAATATAAGAGCTATAATCGACTATGGATCAATATTATACAGTGACGCATCACAGTGTCATTTAAACAAAATAGACAAAATCGTTAATAAATGCCTTAGATTGTGTATAGGAGCCCTAAGAAGTACACCCATTAGTAACCTACAAGTCGAATGCTGTGAAATGCCAATGGATATAAGACGAAAAAAACTTGGCATCAGACTTTTAGTAAGATTGTACGAGAAAAAGTCAAGTTTAATATTCAAAATACACCAGCTTGTTCTTAGCAGACTTAACAGAAAAATATTGGATAAAAAAGAAAACTCTAAATATAGTAGATTTATATTCAAAAATGACAATATATGATAAACAACTATATAAATATGACATAAACCCAAATTACAATATTGACTTTAATACTCTAGAACAAGTTCAGGTATACTTCTTAAGGGACTACAGCAATTTACCTTTATCTTTAAGAAAATTAATGTTTATATCTGACAGTTCACAATTGTTCAAAGATTATTATATACTATATACAGATGCATCCAAAAGTATCGAAGGTGTGGGATGTGCATACTGGGATGACAATAATAAAAACAGTAAAATGTTTAAACTCAATTCCATCATGAGTATATACACAGCTGAATTAATAGCGATAGTGGAAGCACTAAAATATTTATCTAATATAGATCATTCAAAGTTTATAATTTATAGTGACAGCAAAAGTGCTGTAAGTAAAATTAGTGCTATAAATCCTAAATCAAAAGTAAATTACGTTGAATTATATATAATAAATAAAATTATAGAACTTCAGCAACAAGGCAAAACTGTTAAGTTGGCATGGATTAAAAGCCATTGTGGAATCACTGGAAATGAGATAGTAGATGAATTGGCAAAAAATGCTGTGACACAAGGAGTATTAACTGATTATCTTTGTACGTCTAGAGATATAGAATCAGACACGTTCAAAGAGCTTAAGAAGGAATGGAAAGAAAGGTATATTAATGAAAATATAAATACAGGAAAGCATTACAGAGCAATCAGAAACCATATTACGGATAAATCTTGGTTTGCTAAAATGGAGTCGACAAAGGATATGACAAGAACTATATGCAGAATGAGATTTAACCACTGTCTTACACCATCATATATGTTTAAAATGAATCTAGCTGATAGTCCACAATGTACTTGTGGTCAGATGGGTAACCTACAACATAAAATTTTAGACTGTTCTCTTATTTCCAATAAGGTTAATAATTTTTTAAATTCGCTATATTCTTTGACCGATGTCCACCATCCCATTAATTTAAGTTATTTATTAACATTAGAAAACAATGAATTTTTATATAGATTATTGTATAAACATGTTTTAGATATTAAACTCAAATTGTAATTGTAAATATAGAGTAAGTATTTCTTTGTAATTTGTTAGAAAAAAAAGAAAAAAAAAAGAGAAAAAAAATTAAAAAAAAATAATAAAAAAAGAAAATAAAAAAAAATAAAAAAAATTAAAGAAACAAATAAAAAAAAATAAAAAAAAATTAAAGAAACAAATAAAAAAAAAAAAATAAAAAAAAACTAAGAAACAAATAAAAAAAAATAAAAAAAATACAAATAAAAAAAAAAGGAAAAATTGAGGAACTTGGACAGTCCACAGTAAAGTAGCTATTGAATTAAGTAGATAGCTGCAGAAAAGTTTACTGTGGAACTCTAAGGACCTCATCACTTATTATACTTATTATACTTATATATAAATAACTAAAAAACAATTAATAGGAAAAAATGACTATATATTAGGGATCAATACTAGTAATAGTAGGATTAGTATTAGTAGGAATTTAGTATAAGATTGTATAGGAAACAATGACTAATGAAAAAATGAGTACAAATTGTAAGATTGGCGAATGGATTTAGTGTCCGCAGTCATTTAATCACAAACAAACAACAACAACAATGTCACTTTGTATTATCTCTACGATAGAATCAATTGTTTTTCAATTTTAAATTTTTACTCATAGATCGTATTGGGGCATTACTTTCGATAAATAATAAATTAAATTGATTAAAAAGTCAAACCTTTTGTATGTGTTAGTTTTTGTTGATTGTAAATGATTAAAATTTTATGTCAAATAATAATACATTGCATCAACTGTACTAAATAAAAATAAATCTAAAAAAGTTTAAAATGAAGGTTGGCATTTGATCGTTTGACGTTTCTTGAAATTGTATACCCATTGTCATTATTGTCATTATCAATTGTTATTTATGTGTACAAGAATACATATTTCTTCTGTCATATCTACGTTAAGTACATTGTGTTAGTTTTGGTAGAGCTTTTGTTACTTTCGTTCAAAATGCCACATCAGTTTTCGACCACAGAATATGCAGACATAATATTTGTTTATGGATTCTGTAATGGGAATGGTAGGGCTGCTAGTAGAGAATATCGCAGGAGATTTCCTAATCGTCGAACTCCCAGTCATCCAACATTTGGGTCAGTTTTTAATTATTTGCGAGAAAATGGCACTTTTCCTAGTGAAACAACAGAGCGACATGTAGATGAAGCGCAGGAAGATGACATTATGGATGCCGTTACTATGAACCCTACAATAAGCACTAGACAAGTAAGTCGAGAACTCAATGTTACTCAATTAAAAGTAAGTAGAGTCTTACAAAAAAATAATCTATACCCATATCACATTCAAATGGTTCAGCGACTACATGCTGGAGATGAGATCGATAGGTTGGAATTTTGTAGATGGATTAACAATAATCGACCAACGCTATACAGCACACTATTTACAGATGAAGCCCAATTTACCAGAGACGGGATAAATAATTCACGAAATTCACATGTGTTGGCAGAAGAAAATCCCCATGCTATTCGAGAACGTCGTTCTCAGTTAAGGTTTTCGGTTAACGTGTGAATTGGTGTCATAAATAACCAATTAGTAGGTCCTCACTTTTTTGATGGTCCTTTAACAGGGCAGGTCTATTTGAACTTTCTACAAAATATTTTACCGAATTTGCTTGTCAACGCGAACGTTGCTATCCGAGGGATGTTTTTTCAGCACCCCCACACTTTTTACCGGCAGTATGGTCTAGAAGGTTTAGTGCCTACGTAGAGTCTGTTTTCCATTATTGAAAGCTCTTTAATCTTCTGCAATACGTTTGATAAAAGTTCTACCAGTTTGGCCGATGTAAGTTTTTGGGCAGTCGCCACATTTAAATTTGTATACACCGCTGTGTAATTGCTTTTTCTTTTGTATCTTGTAGTTCTTAATATATTTGTTAAAGTTGTTGTTTATTCTAAAAGCTGGTGTTATTTCTTTCTTTTTTATGTGTTTGGCTATTTTTGTTGATATCTTGCCTGTATATGTAATCGGGCAGAAGGTACTGGGTTTTTTCTCTGGTGGTCTCTAGACCAAATTCTTTAAATTCAAAATAAAGGCCTTAAGCTAGAAGATCTTTATTAGAATCCATAAAAATCAACAAATTAAAAAATACATACATAAATCTGAATTTTATTAACTTGAGACAAACCGTTCTCCCTCCTTAACTTATTCAGTTTAAGACAGTGTAAAGTGTAAACACATATAAAAATAGATCACTTGAGAAAGGCACTCTGGCCGAAACAGCTGTAGTGATAATTTAAAATAAATTTTGTAGAAGTGTTGAAAACAAAAGTTTTCGGTGTTTTATTGTTAGCTAATATTTATTTATATTTAGATTTTAACAATTAGAAACGTCTTTTGATTAATTACGTGACAAAACGTTACAATGGGGTGTGTATCCATTGTGGTTGGTGACCATAATTTTGGTGGAGTCTTGAATATATTAACGTTTAGTAATGTAATAAGTAATGTTTACTAACAACTTTGTGCATACTTTTTTTTTGCTAATGTTTATATTTGGAGAACGACTTCCGAAGTGGAAATTGAAACGCCAATAACTTTGTGCATATCTCCAATACATTGGTTTGAAGTAAGTGGCAGCTTTTCTATAGTGTCCGAACATAAGTCACTATAACAGAGAAATGGTGGTGGGTCTCCCTTATAAAATCATATCTTAGTATTTTTCTTCTGTACCTATCGTTGTTGGTCTTAATTCTACTCTTGGTATTTTGTTTCGATATGATTTTAGAAATATATTCACTCTTGACTCTTGAAAATTCGGATTTTTTGTCAAGCAGTCTTAATGAGGACTTTTGTTTTTCAATGTTTTCTCCAAATACAATAGTCAAGATATTACAGATATTATCTAGCTGCCAATCAGCCTAGCTCGTTTAGTGTTACCCACAGTGTAAATTTGGCATTCATCACGGACGGGAGCTAGTTTGCACCTTAGACAAAGGATTTTTGGGAAATAAAACTGAAAACGTTTAATATAAAATTATTTTAATACTTTGTCTTCTTTTCCTTAAAGTTAGATTAAAATATAATTTTTTGACAGGTTACTAAGACTACATTACATTAGATTACGAATTAATCCAGGTACCTATTAGTTCTCCTATTTGGACTCTAGCTGCCGTTAATTGTGGAGTATCATACTCAGATGGACCATGCATATTCGCGCAGTGACCAGCACCTATAAAAAAAAGATTGATATGAATTAATTGGCGGTCATATATTATTGTAATGTATGTCACATGGTATGACCACCACCTGTAAGGCATGGTAGATACAGTTCTGTATGCGCTGCACACTCTGATCAAAGGTTTCCTTTGAGCCCTAGAGAGCATGTCCTTATATTTCTCGTTTTACCTAGCCAATAGAAAGTTCAGAGTTAGAGAGTTAGACGCAATCTACAGCGATTTGTTCGTAAGTAGTGATAGTTTCGCGTGTTGTGAAATTGTGTATTGTGTAATTTGAAATTTGATAAAGAAAGGTTGACAGTGTTCTAGATAACTCACCCCTGTTAAAATCCTGATAGATTTTTTTTGCATTCTAAAAATTTGAAGTGCATTTGTTGAATTGCCCCATATGATTTATTCATAGTTTAGGTGAGAGTGGAATGAAGAAAAATATGTCATTTTTAATGTTTCAAAGTTGAAAACCCTTGCTATAAAATGAAGAATAAGAAATGATGAACTTGATAGCTTTTTCATTAGTTGTGAGATATGAGCCGACCAGTTCAGGCGATTATCTATTATTAATCCCAATAGTTAAACAGTCTCTTTGTTATCTGGACCATAATATAAATTACCTCCAGATATAACCAAGGTTTGCATTTTATCGGATTTAAGTTTCAGTTTGTTTTCAGAAAACCATGTTATAGATTTAGTAGAAACTTCCTCGTGAGACATTTTTAAATCATCATTATTTTTTCATGATATAATGTATGTCGTATCATCTGCGAATTGTACGGATTTGTACCAGGAGATATGAATTAAGGCAAATGGTTGACATCAATTCAGGGTTCAGATACGAAGCATCCTGTTTGAATCCGGAAAAAATCAGTTTGTATTGCCACAGTTTCTGTATGCCTTTATGTTCTGTCTATATGCCGATGACACAACAATAGAAGCGAGAAGTCTGGATTCAAACCTAGCGAGAAGATGCCCACAACATGCGTTTAATCAGTTAGGATTGGTACAATAAATAAAAAATCGGAGTAAATTTAGGAAGGCACAGATAGTCATGTTTCAATAAAGATTCGGAAATCAAGAACGTCCAGTAGGGATGTTCTATACACAGATAGAATGGTCAAATCAGGCAAAATACTTAAGAGTTCTAATGGACAAAAGAACGACATACAATCTGCATGTCAACAGTGCTATCGCTAAGAAAGCAATATTAAGAAGCACGCTAAGATCTCTTATTGGAAGAAGTAGGTAGTTAAGCCTGAAAACAAAGGTATGAATGACAAACATCATCATGATATCAACGATAACACGGATTAGTAGCTTGGAGCTTAACATGTAAAACTAACAGAAAGAAGATCCAAATAGCTCATAGTGAACATCCCCCATACAAATCCGAAGGGACTGTCTATAGAGAAACCATAGAGGTAAGAATTCTAGAAAAAATTAATGAAAAATCGTATGAATTCTTCACCGAACTAAGAAACCATCCGAATGAAAGTCTAAGGACTTGATAAACAGTGATGAAAGAAGACAGGTAATGTATATAAGACCCAGATAATAATTAGTAGGATATCAACCCGAAGAGTGAAGAGAGAAACATCAAAAAGTATTGAAAAAGGGAGACGGATAAACAAAAAATACAATATCAATAGTTGCATAGAGAAGTAAAACGAGAAGTAATCACAAAAAAATTATGCCTAGGAAAAAAGTGTGAATACATAGACAATCATCTAGGAGGCACAAGAAGCTCAGAAGCATGGAGATTTATACATACTCTGTAACATTTTTTTTTATTATTAATATATCAAATTATTTTTAATTCCTTTTACCCCCGTGCGATACGCCGATGATTAGGAATCCCCGTGTTTACGATAGGAAAATATTATTGTAGATACCAAGCTAAAATGGAATTCCCTAATTAAGAAAGGTTTTTAATCCTTCCGTCATAATATTCATTATGAAAAGAGTATAATGCTTTTTGGTATTCGGTTTCTTTTCATAAATTGGTAATTTTCGTCGAAGGCCCATATCTTTTGACAATAACTTAATCCCAAGTATTGTCTGTTTCTTATGTCCAATTGTTAATACCGATTATTTACCTCAAACTTTCCAATAGTCGTTAAGGCCTTACCTTCTGAGAAACACATACAACTGTCCTATCATTCTTGAGTGGGGGAATATTTTCTTCTTCCTTTTTCAGGGACAGTTGGTGAAATTTTTAGTGGAACCAATTTACTTGTTGGTGGGCAGTTGTTGAGTGAGGTAATATCTCGTGAGACTTCTCGGTGGGCTCTTGTTGAGTGAAGTGATATCTCGTGATGCGCTTTGCTCACGATATTTCTTATCTTATCGTCGCTGTGAATTATTTTCTAAGTGTGTGTACACTTCATATTTGAGTTTTCTTTCCTTAGACTATATTAAATTATATATAGTTCTACACTACCTTTAATGGTTATTAAATTCAGTGTTTAGTACCAGAAAAGTATTAAATTCAGTGAATTAAGCTGCCTTCGTCAAGATCTACTGTAAGTAATCTTTATCTACAATTATCTGGGCGAGTAATATGGTATGGTACCATATCACCTGCCATTATCTGGACGTATCATCTATATCTTCACCTGTAGATTGCCGATTTTTGAATGTAATTGAACCATTCAAGAAATTTCTATAAATATTACCTATGAACATACAAGTCTCAGTTTTTTATTAAATAATAGTGCGAGATAGTTAATTGACTTAACCAAGTGCGGTTTGGTTTATGTTTTCATTCCTGTAACCTTTTTGTTTTTTTTTTGTAAATTTAGAGTTAAGTAATTTTTGCTATCTTTTGTATTTCCTATAATTTTTGTTCATTATCTTTCCTATGATATCTCGAGATACGCCAAACTATATTTGTATATGATTGCCTTATATATCTTGGTAAAGGTATTTTTTTATTACATTATAGCTTAATTTTATACATATATAACACCATTTCATAGTTGTGTATTTTTATTACCTGGGTTGCATTTAGCAGCATCATAATTTTGTGTTTAATATATTGTTATTGTTTTATGCATGTATTTTATTTGTCGGCTCCTAACAAGTTCCCTGATAAAATAATAGCTCTGAACAATTACTATCTTTAAATATTACTATGCTTTTGAACTGTAGAAAGATCAGGCTGATTAAGTTTCGTAGGTAAGTAAGTGTAATACTTAATATATTTATTATTTGTTTATATATTGCGTTGACCAGATTTATTTGATAATTTACTGTTGGTATCTTTCCTTGGGTTTGATCTCTGAACCTAAATATCTTTTCTTATCTCTTTTCTTTTCTAAGGTTTTCTTAATTTTCTCCTTAACCCCAAAAAATTGAGTGGCGCCCTGTTTCTATCTTCTCTTATCTTTGGTAATTTTACCCATCTATCTTTTTGTTTATTTCTGTATCTTTTCGAATATCTCTTATCCTATCTTTACCTATTTCTTCCGTTGGATCCATTCCCGGTTCCAAAAGCTAGTTTCGAACCCACGACTCGCTCTCCACCAACCATCTGGCTGCCGTCCGCAGTGTCTCCATTGGTTATCTTTCTAGCACCACCCAAAAAAGATTTCCGAGGTTACAACTCTTTAGAACAACTAATAAAAACAACGTTAGATTAAGTATGGTATCTGACGAAACATGGGTAAAGCACTTCGAGTATTTGCTGACGGTAAAAAGAGAAACGTTCCTACAAACAAACAAATGGAAGCTTAAGGAAGATTAGTGTTAAAAATAGAACAGGTGAGAGATTCCGTTAGGCGATGAAATTAAAAAAAAAACCCGGGCGCAGGTGGAATATGCCCAGGGCTAATAAAATATGGTTAACAAAAGCTGTTTGAACTACTTCGCAGTTCATTTCAAAGATTTTTAAACCACAAAAAAGTTTCAGAAGCATGGAGACAGTGCGACATCTCTCCATATCATAAGAAAGGTATAAGAACTGATACAGCAAATTATAAGGCAATACCAGTAATACCAACAATAGGCATGGTCTCCTTTAACAGTTTACGAAACCTAGTAGATGTAGACATTAAAGGCAAACAATCTGAAGAACAAGTAGGGTTCAGAGCAGAGTTTTGAAAATACTTTAAAATAAATGAACCGACCATATCTCACTTTGTATTGTATCTAAAACATCTTGTAAAAATGAATCTCATTTTTCTTATATAAGCTTCATTTTTATTTGGCATACTTTTTCGATCAAATGCATATTTTTTGGGTTATTTATGAAAAACCGTTGATTTTAATGAAATTTCGCTGTTTTCAACCACAAATATCTCAAACAGTATTCTGCTTCTTCTTCTTCCTCTTTATAATCAATTCTACTTGTTTATTGGCGGAATAATACCTCTATGGAAGATTGTCACTTCATCTTTTGAGCGGTCGTCCGATGTTTTTTCTGCCGATTGGTGACTTATCTCTTGCTATTTTGACGACACACGTCTCCTCCATTTTGCTTATGTGGTTATGCCATTCTTTTTTCTATTTTGTGTCCATTTATTTATTCTCTGTACGTTACATTTTCTTCTAAAGTCTTTACTTCTTTTTCGATTTCTCAGCGTATTTCCTGTAATTCTTCTTAGTACTCTCATCTCTGCAGTTTCCAGTAGCCTTTGCGTTGGGACTGTGTCGGATCTTGTTTCTGAGGCATATGTCACTGTTTTTCTTACACTGGCTTCATAAATTCTTGACTTCATCTGTATTAATGTGTCTGTTTCGCCATATTAAGGCATCCTGCCAATCTATTTGCTTTTTTGTACTTGATCTCTCATTTTTTTTCCAGGTCTCCATAGCTAGACAGTGTAATTTCCAGGTATTTTATTTCCATTACTTGTTCAATACTGATGCCATCAATTTCTATTTTACATCTGGTTGGTTCTTTGCTGACTACTATTGTTTTAGTTTTCTGAGATGAGATTATCATATTAAATTATTTTGCTCTTATGTTAAATCTGTGAACCAGTCTTTGCAGACTATCTTCATCTTGGGCTATCAATATTGCGTCGTCTGCGTAACAGCGTGTTTTGCTTTCTTTGTTTCCCATTCTGTCCCATTCATTCATTCTCATTCCTCTTTCTATATTAACGCTTCTAATAATTTCATTCTTCATAAAATTGAAGAGCATGGGGCTCAATGAAACCCCTTGTCTTATTCCGCTGCCTATTTCTATAGGTTCTGTCAGTTGTCCACCTATTCTGACTTCCATTTTGTTATTTTGGTGGATGTTTGCGATATTTTTTATAATATTTAGGGGAACTTTTCTATTAAACAGAAGATCGATTACATCTTTGAGTCTAATTCTGTCAAACGCATTCTTTAGGTCAATCAGATACAGAAATGCTGGTCTATTATACGCTAGTGATTTCCAGTTTGCTTAGCAATTGCATCTGTACACGATCTTCCACTACGAAAATCCTGTTGTTTATCTGTTAAACTTATCCTCTGATTTATTAGCACTTGTAATTTTAGTTGTAAGTTTTAGCGTAGCATTTATACAAGTTTATATCTCTGTAGTTTTCTAGCTGTTTTTATCTCCTTTTTTGAATAGTAGAATAGTTGATCGTTATCCAGTCTTCCGGTATTTTATTGTGTTTTATAATTTTATTAATTAATGTTGTTAATTGTTCTGTCATTGCTTCTCCACAATATTTCAGTACATCATTCGTTTGGTATCCCGTCTTTACCTGCCGCTTTTCTGTTCTTCAGGTTTTCAAGTATTTTCCGAACTTGAAATCTGTACCTGTACATTTATATAATAAACTTCGCCTGCAGTTTTGTTGGGTGGATCGAGTAGCTCGACAAAACTGTTGCGGGTCCCAAGCCCGGATAAAGAAGGAGGGGGTCTGCAGCCAGGTTAGTACCCTACTGATAGACTTTAAAACCATACAACTCATAGAAACCTTTATAAAATAAAAGTTGCTTAGAATTTAATCTTCTATCGATTCTCGGGATTATTTTGAGCTAAAGAGGCAACCACCCCTGAGGCAGAAGCGCACATCGGCGATATATAACTCATCAAATTTCAAGTGAAAAGGTTCAGTCCGACAATATTTTTAGGTGAATAGCCCGAGTGACTGAATTACAGAGGGGATAGAACTGTATCCTTTCCCTGCATGATTACTTAAATTTATCATCTTTATTTTCATTTAAAAGTACCTTCTGTAATAAATAAATCCATTACTTACCTTCAATAATAATAACAGGAGCCTTTTCATTTAAGGTTTTTGTAATTCCTAAAAGACGCCATGGATCAAGTGAACCATGAACAAATACAACGTTAGATACTTCAATGTCTAAACCACCATAAAATACATTGGTCCTGTTTACAGCATGGTCCAAAAACATATCATTGTAGGATGATCTAAAAATATCTTGGCATCTTTGAACGAAGAAACTTAATGGGAATTTAGCGTGAGTTTGATAATAACCAAATTCTGTACATGTTTGATATATCCATTGGCGATCTACAAACAGAAAAAGATATTATGAAGGGTTATAAAAAATTTACCTTTCTATATTTCTTTTGAAAATTATTGATAGCATAGTTTGTATGTTTGTTTGACAGTTGAAATGTGTAATATGAGATATTACAAAACAACTCTCATCTAGGGAGTCATCAAATTTTTAATGGATATATGTTTAATTAAACAACCAAAACTCATTATTTTGCTCATAACTTAAAGATATATATTAATAACCTATGAAAAAAACACAAAAAATATTCAGAAAGCTGGTTAAAAAATACAACGTTTAGAAAAAAAAATAGGTCCTACGACCTTTGGGAGCCAAGATAGCCCTTTTTTTAATTTACTGTTACTTTAATTAACAACATTTTATGAAAAAAGTTGTAACACAACTTTTAGCAAACAAAATAATCCCAAATTGTTTAAACAGGAATGTTGTAAACAAAGAGTATTTTCGTTTCAACTAAAGTAAAAGGAGTGGGCATAGCCGAATGAAGGGCCAGCCGCACTATTTAAAAAAATCAGATACACTTTCAAGGTACAGCGGGTTCTACTGGACTAAATTTGATCTTTTTTAAACTAGAGTACAACGTGAAAATAATAACATAACATATTTTCTTTGCAAAATTTTCCAATACAAACCAGCTAATAACTAAGGGATGTACAAATCTTTTCTTAAGTTTCCTTTTATTTTTTTTTTTATTTATTTATTTAAAATGTAATTATATTGAATAAATATTATTTATAAACAGTATTGAATTGGCATTTATAGACAATGTTTCCTAATACTATTATTGAATTTAAACAAATTAGTTTTTAGTTTTAGAAAAATATTTTTAGAACAAAAAATCGTATATTTATATATTATATCATTATTCGCTAGTAGCGCATGAAGTCCAAATGATTACCACCACTGAACAGCTAAGCCGGATAAGCGAAGAATTCGGACTTCAGATCAACACCGGAAAAACAAAAATAATGATCGTAGATAGAGCAAATAATAATCTACCTCACATACACCAAGTGGCGAATTTTGAAGTGGTAGACAGATTTGTATTCTTGGGCTCCCTGATAACCAACAATGGCGATTGCTCCTCAGAAATCAAGCATAGATTAGCAATGGCCCGAAACGCAACAGCTAAATTGATTAAAATATGGGAAGACCGAACAATAACAGGGAATACTAAGCTCAGGTTGGTCAATGTCGTTATTTTTTGCATTGCTACATACGCAGCTGAAGCATGGACACTCAAAAAATCGATAGGAATAAGATCGAAGTCTTCAAAATATGGGTCTATAGAAGAATTCTTTGCGTGCCCTGGAAAAAACGTAGAACCAACCTATCAATTCTAGAAGAGCTTCATATAAAAGACAGGTTATTCAAAAAGGTAAAACGAGCATACCTTATTTGAGGAAAAAGCGAACATGGCAGATGAACAACAAGGCTTCCGGAGGTTAAGCGAAATGACATCTTAAATTTATTACAAGCTCAACAAATAGACCATCAGATAATAAGGACAAATAATGAAATTAACAAGAATAACAAGACCAGAGTTATATTGGCAACAGGAGAAACAGAATGCATAGAACTAAAAGGAGGAATCCGCCAAGGAGACTCGCTCAGCCCATTGTTATTCAATATGGTGATGAATCAAATAATTCACGAAGTAAGAAAACAACACGGATACCACATGGAAGCGCATAAAATCACGATACTATGCTATGCCGATGATGCAGTACTAATTGCTGATAACGAAGATGACCTACAAAGGCAGCTCCACACCTTTAATATCACAGCAAATAAACTTAATATGAGAATATGAATAGAAAAAATTAAATGTATAGTGATCAGTAAAGAGCCACGTAGATGCAAACTAGAAATAGACGGCAAAATTGTAGAACAAGTAATAAAATTCAATTACTTAGGAGTAGAGATCACTAGTGACAGGGATATAAGAACAGAGACCACAAGGCAAGCATCAAAAGCGGCAAGAGTAAGTGGTTGCCTCCGAGAAACCATATGGAGAAACAAATATCTGACCACGGAACGCAAAATAAAAGTATACAAGACAACAGTAAGACTTACTGATATTGGATATTGGTATTGGATTTCTATTCGAAATCAGTCTTAATTCGGATCGGTTACTAAAGCAAGATTCATGTCGCCTGATACGTTATATATCCAATATACCCAAATAAAAGGTTCATCAAGTGTTGATGGAGAGCTTGTATATAGCAACTCTGCCAAATTCCCAAAAATAATTGTTAATAAAAGATATGTTATAAACCAATTTGATGAAGTACAACTGACCGCTTTCAGGAAAATATATTTATGTCTAGTAAAAAAGGATGGTGATAATCAACAAGATACTCACAACTCTTTACTAGGGATAACTTCAACAACAACTATTTTTTACCTTGGGTATACCTTATCTAACAAATAATACTTATATTACCTCTAAAATATCCACGGCTTTCCCAAGTACGATTCTGGATTATCGAAATTTCTTTATCATATTTGTAACTTGAACAATTCGTAGTCGTATTCGTAACTCGTTTATAAATATTTGCTAAACGGTTGATTTCAGGCCCAATAGATTCATCTAGCAGAATACTACACAACCAATCTGGTGCTGTACTTTTCGGTCCCGCTCGATAATTTTCATTGTATTGAACCACCTTAGCAAACACTCCAATTAATTGCATGAAAAAGTTGTTCATATCCAAAGAATTATGAACGTTCTCTGATATATCCTCACACAAATTGAATAGTTCGTTAAGATGTTTTTGGCCAACTGCAGTGTGCAAAAGAACTTCAACTTGGTCAATACTTTGCTTTAATATAGTAACACACTTTTTCATTACTGGCTCGTAAAGAATCTTCTACATCCTCTAAATATTCTGAAATAAAGAAAATAAAATGATAAATGCATTTATATTATTACTGTAAGAGGATAATTTTTTGCAATTCTCAAAATTATTGTTTTGTAAAAACATGTAGTTGATATAATCTTGATTTTTTGCAAATATTAATTGATCATTTGCAAAATACAAGCTAGAAGTTTATGATCTTTAATTTTAATACCCATAGATTGACATTTTCTTTTCCAAATATTTAAAACTTTCTCCAAATAAATCTTAAAGAGCAAAGGTCCAATGCAGCAGCCTTGGCGAAGTCGTTTGATCACATTTAGCTTTTTTGTCACTTTTGTTCAATCTTTATTGTGTGGCTGACAAAAGTGAAAACAAAAATTATTTTTGGGGGGGGGGGGGTGAAGTGTATGTTTGTTTAAAATATTCATTCCCATGAAAAAGTTATAAACGCTTTAACTAAATTATAGGCCAAAACTAATAAAATTTTGAGAGTTTATGTGAGATTAATACTTGAATGAAGTAGCTTAAAAAAAGAAAACGTGCTCGTCTATGAAAAAATATGAATACTCTAACCCCAAATATAATTTATTACGAAAAGGGAACTTTTAAGTACACACACTTATAGGAAAAGAGTTGTTAACTACAATAAAAATATCCAAAATCGAATACCTCGGTCACATAATGAGGGATAGCGAAAGATATAGTTTTCTGCAATGAATTCTACAAGGAAAAGTTGAAGAAAATCAAGGACCAGGGAGGCGAAGGATTTCTTGGCTGAAAAATCTACATACGTGGGTCAACACAATAACTACAAATCTTTTTAAAGTAGCAGTTTGCAAAATACAGATTGCCATGATGATCGCCAACATCCGAAACGGATAGACACTACACGAAGAAGAAGATACTGTGTCCAATCCTTTGTTGCTAACCATTTATTATACATATCCGTTTTCTTTCCCCACAGGATCTTCTATTTCTTTATGTCACCATTTATTTTTAATATTTATACAAAACATTTTGACATATTTATATTTTTATATAAAAAAATATAAGAATAATTAAAAAATATATATAATACTTTATTTAAAACAGCAAAATAAAAAAAATTAAAGTTAATATGAATTTAAGGATTAATATATATATATATATATATATATATATATATATATATATATATTATATATATATATATATATATATATATATATATATATATATGTAGTTTTCCAAACATTTTAATTGCAGTAACTACTTTTAATAATATACTGTATCTCTATAATAATATACTTAATATACTTAAGAATTGTGATATTTTTTAAATATTTACATATTTGTCTTATTACAGTGTCTTGAAAAAGGAATAAAACCATTCCGAAAGCTCGACAAAAAGTCAAAAGAGTGTTTTTTTTAACATCCCGGCCAATATTCTGACTGCAACCCTAATAAACTGTGTTGTTTGTTTATATCGACAGTCACTAATATCCAGTATTTCTTGTATATATATATATATATATATATATATATATATATATATATATATATATATATATATATATATATGTATTATATATATATGTATCTCCTATAATATATAGAAAATATAAGCACATATGGGCAGTCCTGTTCATAGTCCGTACATTGTTGCCGAATAGAAAGTTATTTTTTTAGATGGTCTGGGAAATTTTTCAACGATGCAATTACAATATTTAAAAACAGGTTCATATCTTAGATTAAATCAACAGTTTCTTTAATCTCGATTCATAAAAAATAACAATGAATTCTTAACGGCATAAATTAAATCAATTTATTTTAAAAAAATAATAATTTTATAAATGTAATTAAAACTATTTTCAATTAAATTTTTTAAAAGTGCATCACTTTCAGCCAAGCAGTAGCTAAATCTATTGTATAAATGCCTTCGATTGTTCGACAACATTTCGGGTGTTATGCTTTGAAAGGCCTAAATGATTTTTTGACGTAATTCGTCTAAATTCCCGGCACGTTCATGCTCATGTCGGTAAATTTGTTGCTTCACATAATACCATACGAAAGGTCATACGGTGCAAGATCAGGAGATCGAGGTGGCATTTGTATGGTACCTTTTGACCTAATAATTTTATCTGAAAACGTTTAAAAAATCTAACACCTCCTGTGCATTGTGAGATGAACAGCCGTCTTGCTGCAACCAAATATTAATAGGTAATACCTGAACTGCTGGAATTATGTGATTTCTTAGGAGATCTAGGTATTTACGACGACACAAAGTTCCTGAAATGAAAAAAGAGCCAATTACGTTGTAACCTAAAATACGAGCCCAAACGTTGACTTTTCGACGGTATTGTGTTTTGTAAGAAACACTTATATGCCTATTTTCTGTAGAATACCCTACGCCTACGGTAACAAATGGATTCTGATGGCTAGTTAAGCCAATGTAGAAAAAGCGCGCAACTGGATAGGTAAACCTCTGCATGGACTGTATTCGAATACTATGTCAGTCAAACCGATATTAACAATACAAAGTCGAACTATTGTTTGATATCTGGAAAGATGATTTCGAAAACAAAGGGTGTACTGTGTGCCATTAAGGATTATCTTATTCCGACTAAAAGTTACCTGAAATATATTGTCAAAGATCACCTGTCTATAACGAACTACATATCAGGAACGGCATAACTCTAACGAAAGATACCCTAAAAAGAGATTGATAAAAAATTGGAACTTTTTCAAGTCAACCATCTTTCTTATTATCATTAATAAATCTTTTACAGTTAAATACGATAAGAAGTTAAATAGGAAGAACACCAAGTGCAGAGATCTAGAGATACAAAGAAAGAGATACTGGAGAATAGAAAGTACCCAGACGAACCCTTTCTAGTACTGATGTCATTTCGAACAAACTTCTAGCAAACGTCAAACATATAGATTTTAATGAACATATTATCTATAATATCATGCAAAATAATATAATCTAATAAATAATTTTTTAGAGATATAAAAGCCATAACTTGTCACGTAAATCTCAATACCGGAAGGAGTCCCACCAGAAGCTCAATACTTTTGATACAGTAGGTATCTGGGGTACGTAAATGTCTTTTTAGAGGGAGTGAGACCGTATGACTTCAATTTGGATTAGAGTTTAATTTAGGTTATATTTAAACCCGTTTATATCTAATCCAAATATATTAAAAAATATTCTATTGTTATTATTTAAATATTTTAAATATTATAATTATTTCGGCCATAAAGCCAAAAGTCTGTAAAATATTCAGTATATCAAAGTAATCAGAAAATTGTATATAGTTTTACCTGTTGCCAAGTTCGTTCATCGTTCGGATTAAAATGGTCTAAATTTTGGGTAAACCATCTTTCATATTTGCTAGGTTCTGGATCATCATTTTCTGGTTGAAGCATGCTTCCAGTTCGAAAGAAAAAAGTCTCTGTTTCAGAAGAACCGAAAATATTTGTTAAAAGCACTATCGTTGTGAATAAAAGTAATCTAACCATTGCTTCAACTTTTCTAATAACACTTCATAGAAAATAGGGCTTTATGTAATATTGCCTTATACCTAAAAATAAAAAATTTTGAAAAAATAATATTATTAATAACAAATTCTTTGGAAAATAAATTGTAAAGAGAAAAAAAAATACCTATATCTAAGAGATCAGATTTTTATGTAATTGGGAAATGAAATCCTTCCTTTTGTACGCTGAAAGGAATCCTGCGATTGTATTGTACAATATTGTTATTTTTTTACTTTTGTTTATGTTTTACGAACAATTCTTCGACTGTATTGTACGTCCTTTTTATTTTATTTTCGTTGTTACTAATACACAGAAACACGTTGCTGTACTCAGCGTTGTAAAATTAAATTCAAACTATATGATCATCAAAAGTTGAAAAAAAAAACGTAAAAATTAACAAATACGATGTTTAGGTGAAATATAGAAAGCCCTAAGATAGCTTGCAGGATCTAGCAGAACCTAATCTGTCATAGTATAGCACTCACATCCCTAAATCGCAATATTTCTACAAGTGATTAAATGCTACGAATGCTACTGTGGACGAATGCTACTGTTACCAGAAGTGCATCGAAATCTGTCTTTTAGGATTTCCTACACCCATCCTACCCAATTCTTCAAATTTTAAGGTACCTTATGGTGCCAAGTCAGTGAAATAAAGAATCATGCAAGTTTTTACCACTTCTTGTGAGGTTGTCCGTTGATCTGTCGCCTCCACTGAAAGCATTTAAGCAGGTGCCCTACGGTTTCTTTTGTCCTTCACTATAATGCGACTTTAATAACAGAATGTGTGCAACCTGTAGCTCTACAATAATACATCTTCTGGGAATGCCGATGGGCTCAACGAAGACGAAGTTGTTGTAAGTAGTTTAATAATTCCGGAACCCAATATTGAAAGAATCTGAGTGACTGACAAACCTATGGACAGAGAAGTAGTAACTACAATTTTTTTTAATATCCACATGTTTCTTCTATTCTTATCAAGAAAAGATTTAGAAACCCCATCAGTAAATTTACGACATAGTACCCTAGCAGATAATAATAATAATAAGCAAAATGACAACTACAAGCTATACTGGGACTGCACTGTGCTCACAGATCAAACAGTGGCACATAATAGACCAGATCTCATTTTTTTTAACCTATTCTCTATCCTTCCATTGTTGGATATAGGTCTCCCCCAGTTCTCTCCATCTTTCCCTATCTTGAGCTGTTCTCTGCCATGTGGGACCTCCTTGTTTCCTGATGTCATCTTTCCACCTCATCTGTGGTCTGCCTCTTGATCTCTTTGCATTGTATGGACGCCACTTTCCGATGGCATTGTTCCATCGTCCGTCTTGGAGACGTTCATTGTGTCCAGCCCATTTCCATTTCAGTTTTGCTGCTTGTTCTATCGCGTCTACTGTCTTTGTTCTGGTTCTGATCCACTGGTTACGTTTTCTATCTCTAAGTGATACACCCAACATTTGTCTCTCCATCGCTCTTTGTGCCTTCCTTATCCTATCCAAATTGGCCTGTGTAAATGTCCATGTCTGTGCTCCGTAGGTGAGCACCGGTATGATACAGGAGTTATATACCTTGCTTCGTAAGTATAGAGGGATTGTTTGATTTTTTAGAACGTAAGAAAGTTTGCCGAACGCTGCCCATCCCATTCTTACTCGTCTCGATATTTCGGCTGTTTGATTTTCTCTATTAGCTCTGATTGCTTGTCCTAGATAGATATACTCATTTACCTGTTCTATTTTTTCTGTTTTTATTTTTATTGCCTCTTGGTCTTCCGTGTTTGTCATTACTTTTGTTTTGTTGAAGTTAATTTTTAGGCCTTTTTGCAGTGATTTTTCATGAAGTTCATTCAGCATTAATTCCAGTTCTTGTCGTTCCGAGGAGATCAGGAGTATATCATCCGCATATCTAAGGTGATTTAGGTATTTTCCGTTAATACATATTCCTCTGTTTTCCCAATCTGTTGATTTTATTATGTCTTCGAGGGTCAAGGTAAACAGTTTAGGTGAAATTATATCGCCTTGTCGGACTCCTCGTTTAACTTTTATATTATCCGTTATTAATTTGTCGTCCAGAATTACGGTCATGGTTGCGTTTTGGTAAATATCATGTATCAATTGTCGGTATCTTGAATCTATTCTACTATTGACCAGAGCTTCTTCAACCGCCCAGTGTTCAATGCTGTCGAAAGCCTTTTCATAATCTACGAATGCTAAGTACAGCGGAAGGTTGTATTCATTGGTTTTCTCAATTAAGATTTTAAGATCTCATATCTCATATCTCATACTAGTTAATAAACTAAAGAGACAAACAACACTAATTGATGTGGCGATACCCAACAATAATAATCTTCATCTTAAACAGAACGAAAAGATCGCCAAATACAGGGATCTGAAAATTCAAATACGAAGACAGTGGAGAATGGAAAGTATCCAGACAGTACCTATTATTCTCTCTACTACTGGAGTCATTTCGAAGATCCTCCTAGAAAACATAAAAAAGCTAGCAGAAAGCTGTACTACTCTCAACGTCCAGATGTGTACGAAAATTTTAGGGAGATATTCCGGCATACCAAGTCATTTAGCTGAAAAGCTGAATAGCTATCCAAGGCTGAAAACTAAGCCCTGAAGCGGCATGAAGGAAGGCAACGGGATACCACCTTCATTATATTTCCCAAGACAATCACATGAATACATTCAACTCAAAATTATCCGGAGGTATAAATAGTTCCCCAATCGGATCTCCGGGGGGAGCGGTCTTGAATGTTTCAAACGTACGAGCAAACTTAAGAAAGACATTAAAGATAGGCACCTGGAATACACGCAGCTTATTTGAAGCCGGGAAGCTGGCTAACCTAACTCAAGAAATGAGCAGATTAGATCTAGATATCCTTGGGATCTCAGAAACCTGGTGGCCTGGATCCGGTAAATGCACTACAGAAAGCGGAACATTCTTTTACTCAGGCAATGATGACCGCGATCATAGAAAAGGTGTCGGGATTATGATAACTAAAAGATTGGTGAGAGCTGTCACAGAGTTTGTACCATATTCCGACCGCACAGCCTTAGTAAAACTTGAAGCGAAGCCAAATAATCTCAACATCATACAGGTTTATGCACCAACTACAGACACATCAGATGAAGTAGTGGAAAACTTTTATAGTGAAATCAAAGAACTACTTAAATTGACAAAGAAACATGATGTCAACATAATCATGGGAGATTTTAATTCCAAAATAGGGAAGGGCAGCTTTGAAGACATAGTTGGACCCTATGGTCTTGGAACAAGGAACGAAAGGGGGACCGACTTATACAATTTTGTCAAGAAGAAAACATGAGAGTTACCAACACATGGTTCCAACTCCACCCCCGTCGCCTTTATACTTGGAAATCTCCAGCCGATAGAGCTCATAACATAATAAGAAATCAGATAGACTTCATTCTTATAAACGGTAGATTCAGCACAACTGTCAAAAGAGCTTGCACATACCCTGGAGCAGATGTCCCTTCTGACCACGTACTATTAGTGGCCGTCATAAAGATCGCTCTTTCATGCAAGAACAAGCCTGAAACTCAACAACAGATAGCACTGGATAAACTGAAAGACCCAGTGATACAAGCAGAAATAAGCAATGAAATAAACGCACAAATTCAAATATTAACGACAAACATTACCGAAGATCTAACACCAACATGGAATACGATTACAAGTGCTGTAACAGACATCATGAAAAACAACTTAGGGTACAAACGAAATAACAAGAGGCAAAAATGGATGACAGAAGAAATACTATTACTAATGGAAGAACGACGAAGACACAAGAATAACCAAGATGGCAGCAATATGTATGAAAACATTAACAGGCAAATAAAAGCAAAAATAAGAATAGCAAAAAATGAATGGCTTAAGCAACAATGTACCGATCTAGAACATTTACAACGACAGCACGACGACCGTAATTTACATAAAAAGCTTAAGGAGACTGCTGGAATATACAGAAAACGAAGACCAACTACCATAGTTAATCAGGATAACCAGATAGTGCTGGGTGAAAAGGAGAAAATTGATATATGGGAAAATTATATCCAGGAGCTCTTCCATGACGAAAGACCCATGACTGAAGTTTATACAGACGACCAGCTGACTGGCCCTTCAATCACCAAAGAGGAGATAGAAAAAGCAATATTAAATTCAAAAACCAATAAGGCACCTGGACCAGATGAGATCCCGTCAGAAATACTCAAATTACTAGATGAAAGGGGAATTTCAGCACTACACAAAATATTTAATTTAATTTATGAAACTGGCTGCTATCCTCAACAGTGGTTACGCTCTACCTTTATTCCCCTGCCCAAGAAAGTCAATGCAAAAAGATGTGAGGATCACAGACTCATTAGCCTGATGAGTCACACTTTAAAGATATTCTTAAAAATACTACATCAAAGATTATACAAAAAATGTGAATGGGACATCAGTGATTCCCAGTTCGGGTTTAGGCAAGGTTTAGGAACACGAGAAGCAATAGTAGCAACACAGGTGCTGGTCCAAAATTGTTACGATCAGAGGAAGGATGTGTTCCTATGCTTTTTAGATTACCAAAAAGCGTTTGATCGTGTCCAACACCACAAGTTAATGCAGATTCTCAAGAAAGTTGATATAGACCAAAAAGACATAAGATGCATTGAAAACTTGTACTGGCATCAAACGGCACAGCTAAAAATAGACAATTCTATATCCAAGCCCATACATATAAGAAGAGGCGTTCGACAGGGATGTGTGCTTTCCCCTCTTTTATTTAACATTTATTCGGAAGCCATATTTCAAGAGTCTTTGGAGGATGCAGAGATGGGAATCAAGGTGAATGGAGTATTGATCAACAACATACGATATGCTGATGATGGTGTCTTAATTTGTGACAACATAGTCGATCTTCAACAACTTGTCACTATAATCGGAGAATACAGTGAGCGAATGGGATTAGA